CGGCACCGCCGCCGTCTGCCCAGCGCTGGCAGCCCCGGGAGATGGTGACACATGAAGCGTGCGGGAAGGACCATGGTTGAGAGGACCAGCAAGTTCTTGCTGATCGTGGCCGTCTCGGTGTGCTTCATGCTTATCCTGTACCAGTACGTGGGGCCGGGGCTGAGCCTGGGTTCCCCCAGCGGCCGCTCCTACTCGGAGGAGCTGGACCTCTTCCCCACGCCGGACCCGCACTACGTGAAGAAGTACTACTTCCCCGTGCGGGAGCTGGAGCGGGAGCTCGCCTTCGACATGAAGGGCGAGGACGTGATCGTCTTCCTGCACATCCAGAAGACCGGCGGCACCACCTTCGGCCGCCACCTGGTGCAAAACGTGCGGCTGGAAGTGCCCTGCGACTGCCGGCCCGGGCAGAAGAAGTGCACCTGCTACCGCCCCAACCGCCGGGAGACCTGGCTCTTCTCCCGCTTCTCCACGGGCTGGAGCTGCGGGCTGCACGCCGACTGGACCGAGCTCACCAACTGCGTGCCCGGAGTGCTGGACCGCCGGGAGAGCGCCGCCGCCAAGACACCCAGGTACCGGCCCGCCGTGTCTCCCCCTTCCCCGCTGCCCCTCGGGCCGCGCACCCCTCCGCCCGCCGCCGCTCGCCCGAGCCCTTCCACTGCCGAGCCCCCCTCCCGGTGCCTTGCAGCATGCTGCTAACGTGCTGTGCCCCAACCTGCCCTGAACCCTTCCTCAGCCGGTTCACCTGTCCTCCCCTCCCGTCCTCCAGGCTGTGCCCTGCACCTTCCCTCTGCATTCCCAGGCAAATATACTGCTCTTTCCGTCCCGAGCACACTGTACCCTCAGCACACCTTCTGCTCTAGCAGCCTCTGTGGACCCCTTAGCAAGCCTATGTGTTTATGCCACTTACTCTCTTTTCTAAACGCTTAGTCTTTATCTCAGACCTCACTTGCCACCTTTTAGTACCCATTACACCATACCCTAGTCTTAGGCTTGCCTTTGGTAATCAGCTTTGCCCTAACCTGTGCACCCCTTTTCCTTCAGCTGAAATTGTTCTCCAGTGCAACTGAGGAGAGGCACAGCAGACCACCAGTCCTCATGCCTACCCCCTTGTTTTACCCTCCTTGTCTGCCTGATAGTTTTTTGCACATTGCAGAAAACATCCCTTAAACACCCTTTCATATATTCCTTGCTGTTTATCTTGATGGGAGACCTGAGGTGAAACCTTTTAGGGAAAGGAGCTACCTTGTACATGTTCCTTGCGCCTCCCTCATCTGTGTGCACCAGAGAGAGGGAGAGCCATCCTAAAGCACCCCTTGGTGCATCCCTGTTGAACACGCAGTGTGTTTCTGCCCTCTTATCCCATTATTTCTCTACCTCGGTCTCTTTATAAATGATAAGCTTCAGAGGAATTTTCTATCTGAAATACTCTGGTAGCCACTCTGGTGGCTTATATTAAGATCTCCAAAGATTATGTTCTTTTAGCTGAATATACCTTTGTGTCTTTTATTTCAGGAGATTGGGGTTTTTTATGGTCACTATTTTTTAACACCACGCATACCTTCCTTGACATATCAGTGTTTTTGTTATGACATGCTGTAATCTGTTTGCTTTAAAGTTTCATTCTTAAAGCTGTCCAGGATCTTATGCTAACATTTGCTTATGCCATATGCTTTATTTATATGCATATTGTTAATACCGTACATAATCCCTTTAGCGAGAAGTGGCCTTTAAGAAAGTATGTTTTAGCATCATAACTGTTTTTTCTCTTATGTTTTTTAAAAGCGATTTTTAATCATTTTTCTTTCATTGGAGCTGTGTGTGATTGCCGGGGTTCTTTATTGTCTCTGTCGTGATTGCTGCTGTTTTCAACCCGTTTCAGTGTTAGTCATCCAAGTACTATGTTCAGATTGCTGTCATGCTGCCTGACCCAGGAGCAGCAAACTGAAGCGTGTATCTAAAGGGCTGAGTATTCAGGCTTTCCTGTGGTCTCTTATTTTATTAATAAGGCGCTTGAAAACACCTATAAGTAAAATATTCTCAGCCCATCTGATTGCTGTTGAGATTTTAGTGAAGCGTTGTAAGGAAAAAATGCACAAAGTTCAAATCTGATTCAAAAAAGACAAAAAATTACCTGTTTCGTGAACCTTGGCACTTGGCTAGCAAACCATTAACCTTATGTAAAAAGACCTGTGTAGTTTTATGAATTGTCCCAGACCCGTGTGTGCTTCCAATGGCAATTTTGTACTAAAATCTGCTATGTGTTCAGTATTTAACTGTCTCATCCTACTTAGCAGTTGTTTTTTTGTATAGGTACCTGAGAACAGGGCACTTCAGGTTGTGAAGTAGCAATTAAATTCCTTACTGCAACTCATAGGAAGTTGAGAACCAGAAGCCTATTGCCTCATCTCAGATGCTTGTAAATAAGATTTTTCTTTGCCATTTGTTTCGGAAGATCAGGAACTATATGCTTCCATATGCCTTTTAACTGTCTTGGTTTTTGGATGTGCAGGAAAAATAATTAATCCTATCCCATTCCCTCATGTCTCTGCATATCCAGAAATAGTTCTGCTTAACGTGGCCTCTTCCCTTAAATCTAAACTAGAACTTTGTTTTTAGCAGTGTAAGAACTATGATGTGGAAGTTTTAGATAATCTAAAGTCCAGTCTGTTAAACAAAAATGAGAATTTACTGTTCATTTTATGCTGGGGATGGTTTTGGTTCAATGAACAGCTGCTGATTATTTTAATAATACTGTCCTAGGATACTGCTCTGTTGTACTGCAGTCCAGTTTAGTAGGCACCTTCTTCAAACTATTATTTATTGCATATCTGAGAGAATTGGGAATCAGAGACAGGCAATGCTCATTTAAAATAAAAATTTGATGGATTTTCTTTGTTAGAAAAAGGATAGTCTTGTATTATGTCCGTTACACTAACAGCAATATAACTTTATTTCTCCATTGTGAACATTGGATCTCTTACATTGAAACAGGACATGTTTTTACAGAAGGCATATGCTAGAAAGGCTACTGTTTTATAATGGAACTGAACTATGAAAATACCTCTCTCTCTCTCTTTCAAAAGGAAAAAAAAAAAAAAAAAGGAGCAGTAAACAACCATTCCGGCAGGGTTCACTCAGATTCTAATATTATCCACTTCAGGTTTTGGAGCACAGTCTTCAGCTTTCAAAGCTAGTGTACTGGTCTCTGCATTTACTACTTAATGCAAAGTTTAAACCTTTGTTCTTCTAACTATATGTTTTATCCCCCAAAACAAAACAGCTGACTTGTGATTACAAGTAAATCTGCCTTCTAGTGAATGTTGGAAAGCATGAAGGTCATTCAGTATTGCCCACATGTACAAATCATGAGCTTAAAGCTGTTAACTTTGTAAGGAATGCAGTTTTATAACTGCACAGTGCCCTATTGCACTACATTCCATAACCCGTGCATGGTACATAAATTTACAATGCAATTGCTCTTTTTATTGTTCTGCTGTTCTGTGTTAGACTTAATCGTTAAGAGCCCTAGATTGCCAAAGACGGCAATTTTTTTCTTCTTCTTCTTTCTTTCTTTCCTTTGCATTGATACCTCAAGCAGTTAGGGATGGGTGTTTTAGCTCTAATGGGTCAGCACTCTTTTTTAAAACAAAACAAAACCAAACCAACAACAAACTACTGGTTCTCATCCCCCTCCCACTCCCATGCTAGTGACTTTCCCTGTTTTGTATTCAAAAGACTTCTGGACAAGCACTTCTTGAAGCAAATGTTATGTTTTATACACAGCCAGTAAAAGAAAGATTGATTTGTTTGCGGGCTGTAAACTTGGGACTCCAAGGAACTCTGAAGCTGACTATGTTTATCAGTTAAGTCACTTAGCTGCAGTTCTCTTAATGGTTTTAGTAGAGGGCAAATTCCAAGATTTTTGGGAATGGAGGCCTATTCATTCCTTGTACTACCAGGCATAAATAACTGCTGGAAAAGACTTTTTTTTTTTTTTAAAAAAAGCAGATAATACTATGATGCCTGCTTTGAGTCATCATGATGATTATTTCAGAAACCAGAGGCTAAGCAGTTTCTGTGAACTGCTCCCTTAAGTTTGTCTCACCTAAAACTGCAAGAGATCTAATCTCTTCAGTTGATTCTGAAAAAAAGCCAAACTTTTCTGTCAGCTCAGTTCTTTAATTTGGCTTCCAGAATTAGAAAAATCTGTGAAGTGATCCACTAGTAACTTGTCTGTCTCCTCCATTAAAGGGCTGAATGAAAGCCCTTAGAGGTGTTGGAAAGGTTCCCTTGTTAGCCACTGGAGGAGATGCGATTCAGTGCCCTTCTGGCTGCGTCCTTCTTCCGTGCTCCCAACACAAGAGCAGGTGATCTGAAGTTGTCCTTGTAGGATGCTTCATGCGTGAGCTTGACTCTAGCGTAATATGTGCTGCAGGAACAATAAAACAAATAAATTACGCTGAAGGAATTCTACGTGCTTCCTCTCCCACCTCTTCTCAAAAGAAAAAAAAAAAAAAAAAAAAAAAAAAAAAAAAACACAAAACAAACAACCAACCTAGGCTTCGTTGCTATCCTGCTGGTTTCTTATGTCTCATGAAAACGAGCATCTATGCTGACATTTTCCTGAAGACACATTATTCACGTGGAGAGGACTTTAAGGCATACAGCTCCTTTAAAAATGCGTTTCGTGCCAGCTGCCTGTTGCTGTGGAGAACCCATGTACTTGGTAGAGTGTTGGAAGGGCATTGCTGGATCTGTGCTCCCTCAGCTCACATGCATGCTCTGCCTTCTGTTATTCTCTTTCAAGCACCAGGTGGATTTTTTTTAATTTTTTTTTTTTCTAATGAGCCACCTCAAGACACTAGCTTAGTCTTGTCTTTGTGTACGTGTTTCTGTGCTAGTCTGTCATGGGAGTTTGGTTTCTGAGTTCATCTATGGACAAAAAAATTGACAAAAGTATTTCTTTGTGATTTTAAAAGCATGTGCGTGCTTCCAATTTCAATATTTCGTCTCAAGATTTCATATGCTTTAGAAATAAAAAAAATTGTAATCCACGTACTTTTATGTAAGAAATCTACAGCAGGTTAGTAAAACCTGCTGTTACAGATCAGTCCAAGTTTTAGAATCTCTCTGATAAGCTATTTAGAGCTTAAGTTTTTGGTTGGGTTTTTTTTTAAAGAAACAATTAACAGGGCTCAGCAGTTTGTTAGTTTGATTTTTCTGAAGTGTGAACTTTCACAGCTTCCAACCACATATCTGTCCCTTTGCAGGGATCTGTTCTTGATGAGGTTTTTATTATATGTGTGCTTAGGAGCTGCAGAGACACGTTGTCAAGAGACCAACTGTTTGAGAATGAAAGGCTTTACCAAATAATTTTTATAATATTAGCACTTTTTAAAAGCTTAGGCTTATCATTCTTTGTGGATCTGTGTGTGCTGGGGGTTGTGAAATACCTGTCTGCAGGGAGTAAAGGGCATTTTTTCCACTCACCAGTTCAACTCAAACTAGTTTCTCTTAAGGACTGGTGGGGAAGTATCAATATAAACCTATTTTCAGTAGCTTCATTCTT